GTGTGTGTGTGTGTGTGTGTGTGTGTGTGTGTGTGTGTGTGTGTGTGACTGAAGTGTAAAAAAAGCATAAGAGGGATGTGATTACTATGTAAATGGCCGTGCTAGGTTGGCTATGAAATGTTGTAAGCTGAAAGTGGAGCGTCTGCAGATCCATCTCTGAAATCTCCTCCAGGCCTGATTGACAGCTGGACGCCAGCTCTCAAACAGATGTTGCCGCGGCGACGGAGCCATGAAAACTCTCCTCCAGTACAGTGGAGGATGAGCAGACAATTTAGAGAAGCAATGAGCTGAGATAATGAGAGTAACATACAAAATGAACAGGAGATGTGTGCGCTGTTCCCTTCGGCTCCGTTTCAGCCACACATCTGGTCTGACACCTTTAGGTGCCAGATGCCATAGGCCAGAAATCTGTTACTTCAAGCTCTTGTAATGATGTGATAATTTATTACATTTATGAACTGCTTATATTTATGTTTTTTCCCTCATTGCTTTTTTTCTGTTTATTCTTATTAATGAAGTCCTCAGCTTCGTTTTACAAACCGCCTCCCTCTGATCATCATTTATGTTGAAGGTTTGCAGCATTTATGTCCACAGACAGATCGAGCACATACAAACTGCGCATGAGAGTGAGCTGTTTGAATTTCTGTCATTTTGTTGTGAAGCTAGAGTCCAAGAGGTCTCTCTCAGTTATGCATTCATACATAGCGTGTACGCATGTTAACAGAAAGACGAGGGGTAGTCTCTCTTTTTTATGTGTGTGTCAGCGTGGGGGAGGGGGTCGAGGCTGGGTTTCACGCCATTGTCTGTCAAATAAATTATTTAAATCCCATAACAATTAAAGCTGAAATCTGTTATCAGCGTCCTCCATTAGAGGCCCGTGTGGCTGCCTTGCTGCCTCAGTATGCTCCTCGCTTGCTTCCCCTGTCTGGGCGCAGCGTGGGGCCGGATAAAGATCACAAGCTCTGAATCTTAAACACACATCCCAGCAGAACAAAGGCTAACAGCGCGTGCCTGTGACCCAGGGACTCTCATGCACTCACAGAACGTCTTCATCACAGGAGCGTGTGAATATTTTGACAGCGATTTGTTTTTGAAGCAAAAATGTTGATAAACTGTAACTTGCGTTTTCGGGAGTCGTGGCGTGTTTAATTTGCAGGATGTTGTTGAAAGTCAGCGGTGAAGTGTGATCTGAGGTTGGATGGTGTGGAGTGTGTACAATGGGGGTTGCCTGTTTTACACATACAGGGTTCTTTTCAGGAGGGAGCGTCATGGTATTGCATGATGGGATTTCTGTTAGGGCCCTGATCTCTGTATTCACATCCTCTTTTAATTTTCACCGGCTCTTTCCTTTCGCCTGTCTCATTATTCCCTCCTCGACAGCGATTCTCTCCCTCTTTCCATTTTACCTCACTCTCTCTCCTCTTTCCCTGCATTTTTTTCCCCATTAGTCATCTTAGAAAGCAGCCTTTGTTTGTGTGTGTGTGAGAGTGTGTGTGTGTGTGCAAGTTGATGTCAGGGGTTTCACTTTAATAATATCTGGTATGTCATCTTTGGAAAACCTTCCTGAAAAAAAATGCTCAGATATCATTTGAAAAACATGTGTCTGCTTTCAAACGCGAAACAATTTCATACCATCGGTCTTATTATGATCCATTACAGCGATTTGTCTTTGCTTTCAACAGTCTGTCCTTTTGTCAAAGATACAATAGATAAGCTGGTTAGCTTAGCTTAGGTTAGCATATGGCCTGGCTCTGTCCGAAGGTGACAAAATCGTTTTATGTTTTGACCAGCAACAATTCAGAACACCAAAAAAAATGTTTACAATAATGTACAGCAAGCAGCACACTCTCATCAATAAGAGCATGGAATCATGAAATGTTTTTCATACATGCTTAAACAATTAAACCACTATTAAAATACTTGCTGATCATTTTTCTGTTGATCAACTAATTGATTAAGCAGTGTTAAATGAGTCTCTTGATTTCTTTTTTCTTTTCTTCAGTGGATCCTATCAACACAAATAAAACTAAAGATGTCATCTCCTAGCTTAAACTGTAGGTTTTTATCTGTTTCTCCAATTTTATTTATTTCATACATCTTAATTAATGCAGTGACGTCGAACTTTCCAGACTGTTTATTTGACACTGATAAATTGACACTGAGAATGAGGCTGGAGTGTTTGGTTGGTTAACAAGGTGAACATTCATCCCATCTACTTGTCGATGTTGACAGGAAATTGGAGTGGATTGATGGCTCTCCGGTTGTTTTGTTATGCTGATTGTAGCCTACTGTTTGATTTCTATACGGCTTTCTTTGGTACAATGTTGGCTCTAATGGTTCTTAGCATATGCATTATGTGTGTGTGAGTGAGTGTTTGTTTGTGTGTCTACGAGCCTCAGATTACCGTTGGCTCTGGCACCGCTCACTGAATGTAAATATAAAGTAATCAAAACCCACTCCTACACTGCTTTTTGTTTATGTATGCGAGTATGTGTGTCCATGTTCAGGCCACATAATTGAGAACTTAAAATAGTCTGAAGAAGGGGCAAATCCCCATTCATATGCCGCATTCCTGTGTGTGTGTGTGGGTGCATGCGCTTTGTGTGCACCATAGCTCATACATCTCTGTCTCAGATTGGGCCTGCAGTGTGTATCTCCGTTGGGATTCTTGGGTCCAGCTCTGCTGAGAAAGCACACACAGACTGATTTCCTCTTATTTATGCCACTCTTTCTCTTCCTTGCTCTCTCAATTTATTTCCTGCCTCTTTTCTATTCTGCCTGTGTCACTTGTTTTACTACTTACTGATCTTCATTTGTCCTTCATTCCTCGGATAGACACACAGACGCACACACACACACACACACACACAAAACAGCCATTTGCTAGAAGGCTGGATATGTATAATTGTGTTTGTGTGAGTTTATGTGCTGGAAATAGCCTTGTCCCTGTACGCTGGTCATAATTAGCCGGGCTGGTGCTCTGAAGCTTTGTGCTGCCAAGACTGAATACAATCATTCTATAAAATACAAGCACGTCTGCATATCTGAGTGACACTTGAATGAAAATCACAAATTTTCTAACTTTAATTCTCTTTTTTTATTTCCTCTCTGTTCCCAGTGATCTGCTGTCATCAGGGTACGTGGAGAGGCATTTGTCAGAGAAAGGGAAGACTGTCGTCACCAGTGTAAGATTCTGCAAATCATCTCTCCTCTTGCTCAATCACTCTTTCATTATTGAACTATTTGCAGTCAGAAGGAAAGCTACGGTGTTTTAATGGTGCCGTGATCTTGACATTGAAAACCTTACCCACAAAACAGCAAAGCAGACAGACAAAGTTAGCAACTAGCTGGTGAACAAACCCAGTGGAGCATTTAGCAACTAAAAGCCGTATTGCCAAGCTAAAAGGAGAGAGAGTATTAGAATGACATTTGTTTAAGTGGACAGAAACACAACTCCCAGTGATTGCTAATGTTGCTCCTTTTCTGCTGGATGTGTAAATGGGTGACTGGACAAAACATGGACAAAAAATCAAACATGCCCACTTAGGAGACAGAAAGCTACAGACAACCCCTGTAGCTTTTTGCAAAAAAAAACCAAGTAGAGCCCCTTACAGCAGCATTGTTTCCATTGACGTGGGATGTGCCATGTATGTTGAGAAGTGTTAGATCTATCAAGATAACATATCCATACACACATCACATGTTAGTACCAGGTGTATAAAGTAGCAGGGTTCAGTTTAGAGACGTTAGAGACAGACAATGCCGCGATGGCGTACGTTTGACGATAGTCGACACAGCACAGTGGCTGAATCACACAGAACAATCACAGCCCATCCAGTCTTTGTTCAGGGAGTCAAAGTGGCCTAAACCTTCCACTGACATGAAATTAAGATTGCTGAGATAATCCTCTGAAATCTGGACTTCAGTTACAGGACAACCACTGAGGCGTCATGTTATATCACTTAAGTGAGGGGATTATAATGGTCAGGATTTTATAAGCTAAGAAGCAGATTAGTGTGATATTAGATACTTTACAGAGAGGGATCCAAATCATTACACCACATATAGTGTGATCTAGTCACTTGTAATTATGGAATTAATTCACCTTGTAGATGAAGATCCAGAATGAACTCTGTCATTCTGGATCTGTCTGAAAATGATGTTGTAATGCTTTCTGTTTTAGGTAGTGGAAAGAACAAGAGGCACTTTGCCACTTTATTAATGGCTGCTGTTCAGGGAGGTTAATATGAGACAAGCTGCTGTTTGTTACACACAGTAGATGTCAAAAGCCATTGTAACACAGCAGCTGTTCGTAAAGGGCCACCTCAGAATCCTCTCTGTTCATGTTGTTCTTAGGTAATACAGGTATCACATGCTGTACTGCTAAATGTGGTTGCAGTTCTTGCTTTCTGTCCACAGTTGGTTTACTGCAATGAATGCAGGGCAGGACTTTTATTTTGTAATTTGTTTTTTGTGTGCAGGGTACAATGCAAATTAATCATCATCATCAGTGTAGCATAGCATTATACGTACATAGTAAAGTTGCAATTTATATAACATAAATATAATGACATTTATCACAACCCTTTGTCCTAAACATGTTAATTGAACAATATAACCATGTAAGTATCAAACAGTATAAAGAAGTTATAATCAACCTATAAACACCATATATACCATTTAAAACTCCACACACTGGATAGATTACATCTCTGAACGATATGATGATGGTAATAATACTTGCTTTTGTTATTGAGTACTTTGAGTGTTTGTTCATAGAGTGGGTCTATTGAGCTTAATATGGAAACTGCAATCAGCAGTCCTGCTCATTAATCTTCAGCCGTGCTCACAATGATCCACCCAGAGAGGATAACAAAGTATTGATGGAGTACGTCAGTACCTCTATAAATAGTATGACATGCACAAATAAACTCCATTTCCACTTATGTATGTACACACTTTCTGTCTCATGAATAGTAAAATATGATACATATTTGTGTAATTTCTTTATTCCTCTGCTTTATCTAATTACCAAACTTTCAGAGGGCAAAGTGTCCTATTTGTTGACCAACTTTCTGACCGCCACCTTTTCATTGTGCATTGTGTTGTCCAGATTAGATGATTAGATACTCTTATACGAGTCTAAGGAGATCACAGATCAGACCAATTTAGCAACACACACACACACACACACACACACACACACACACACTCACACTCACACTCACTCTTAGGATGTACCCACGTCACAGGTTTTGGGTGTTTCTTGCTTTGATGAGAAGTGGAGCAGAAGGTTCAGGGCGACAGGGGGAGGAGAGACGCTGGGATAGTAGAGCACAGCATCACTTATAAATAGCCTTCATTGTCTCTTTATCGCACACTCGCTCTACGTTTCTTTACCCAGCCTCTCTCTCTCTCTCTCTTGATCTCCATTTAGGTTTATCTACCTAACTTGTACAATTTATCTTGTTGCAACCCAAACATATGTTTCATCTTTGTGTCAGAATATTCAATTTTAGTTTCCTCTCTTGTCAATAATTCAAAGCTGTTACTTTTTCTTGATTCTGGTCATGCATCTTGGATGGAGAAATAGAAAGAAGAATGCTAAGAGTGACATAATTGGGACTGAGAGAGAGCAAAAGAAACAACATTAATGAATAAAAACAACAAAAATCTGAATCATCTGACTGATGCAATTTAACTCCAATAATGATAACAGTTTATGCAGATGAGTTCATCACACACATTTATATGACACTATACATCTATGAGGACCCCTTTATACATCAGCTCTTAAATACACAAATATAATCTCCTGCTGAGAGTTGTCTGTATGGTAAATATAAAGCCACGGAGATGGTTAGCTCAGCTTAGCATTAAGACTATAGATACATTTTCTGGAGTTTCCACTGGTTGCCTAAAAACCTCTTGGTGATGACAAGACTCCAAATAAGATGTAATATTATTACTTTCTGGGGTCTGGTAGGCACATCTTGTTTCCTTTGGACAGAGCAGGCAAACTGTTTCCAGTCGCTATGCTAAGCTAAGCTAAGCTAAGCTAACCAGCTGCTTTACACACAAACATGAGTTGCATCCATTGTCTCCTCTAACTCTTGGCAAGAAAGTGTATTTCTAAAAGTTCCTGTAAGGGAAATCTTAACTTAATTGTACAGGGGTACACCCTTTCCTGTTTCAGCATGAAAATATCTCCATGATAAAACCAAGTTCATGAAGAATGTTTTTTCCCGTGTTTAGAATGGAAGAATTTGGCTAGCCTGCACAAAGCCCTAATTTCAAACCCATCCAACAGCTTCGGGATGAGTTGGAACGCCGACTGCAAACCAGGCCTTGTAGCAGCATCACATCACTACTGCTCTCATGGCTGAATGGGAGCAAATTCCTGTTTCGAATCTGGATGAAAGTCATTACCGTTATGCCTGTAGTTCTGGTTTTCACTTACTTTTGGTCATGTAATTTACCAACCGCAACAAACATATACATGCCTCCTCGCACAAACACATGAGCCGGGCATGGGTTTTAAAATCCACAGAGAGAGCTGGAGGTAGAAGTGGACGAAGCAGTGCGTTGCTGTGCATAGCATCAAACTGTAGGGCAGAAATTGATCCTCTGATAAAAGCTGCGTCTCCTCAGGGAGACCGGCTTCCTGCCTAATGGCTGTTAGGCAGCGAGAAATGGACCAGGAAGAGATGGCCTGCAGAGCACTTAGACACTTAGACATCATACACGTCTATAGAAAATAAATCTGTGTTTACGCTGGCAGATAAGGGAAGAAACACACACACACAAAAAGACAGACGGAGATAGAGAGCGAAGACAGAGTTATGACAAGATGGAAAAACTAGAGACTGATGATGTGGCTTCCTATTGTGGGTATAAGTTGGGATGGAGGACAAAGAAGGCACAGAAGGGGTTAACACACAGATGGTAGGATGTGAATTGGTTAATCTCAAAGTGTGTATGTACCCCACAAATAAACATACAGTACACGCGCACGTCTACACCAAATCATACTTGCACTTGTCAGCAAATGAATTCTGTGTGATTGATCACTCTGATGGAACGTGGTAATGAAAGCAGCAAGTGAGATGTTTCGGTCTCTGTCCGAGTGCATGGGACATTTTAGGAGGCAGCCATGTGTATGATCTTAATCTGTGAGTGTTTGTGTTTTGCTCACAGGGAGGAGAGCACTGCTACTATCAGGGGAAGGTTAGAGACATTCCTCACTCCTTTGTGGCTGTCTCAACCTGTCACGGATTGTAGTAAGTACAAATATTATGTGAATTTATATGTGTGCGTGTTTCTCAGCCAACATTGCTGCCTCTGTGTGTCCAGGTAATCGGCCAATGCTCCCGTTTATTCATTAGGTCAATGTAATTAGTTTGAGACAGCCCTTCTCTGTCTCTCTGCATTTTTCGTTGCACAGGTTATCATTCACGCTGACAGGTGCTGCTCAGGCATCTTCTCTTCTCAGCGCTGGTATTTTTAGAGCTTGTGCTCTAAAGCAGAGGGATGGGTCAGAAACCAGGCCTGCTGGGAGGAATGCTTGTACAATGTATATGAGTTTTTGTGTTATAGTGTGTGTGTGTGTGTGTGTGTGTGTGTGTGTATAAATGTGTATATGAAGAGAAGAGAGGCAAAAATATATCCTGTGTTACTGAATGTCATTGTATGCGATTAATACAAAACTTGCATAAATTGGCACCTATGAATAATCATGCACATAAAATACGTTTTTTCACAGTTGCGTCCACACATTTGCTGAAAGGAAACAGTATTTTCCCAAAACTGTGAACATACTGTAAGATTAAAAAACCCACAGCCAAACCTCAGACATTTAACACATAGTATGGTATATTTTGCTCTCGCTGTTTGTTTTTGTTTTTACGTTAATTATTTAGGTTTCTTAAAAAGTAATTGCACAAAAAAGGAAAGAAAGAATTTCTAACATTATTGCTGGAAACAAGTAAAGAGAAAAGTACAGTCCTGGAAGAAGCTTCTTGTCAGTTTAATCTATTGCTCATTTATTAACAGGAAGCCTTGTATTCATTCACATCGTCACATTGTTTACAGTAAACACTATTTCATCACTTTATCCCTTTCATTCTCGATCCATTACGCCTCATCAGAGCTTGATTCAGTCCAGTAAATTCTCTTTTAACGTAACGTCCAAAACAAAATAATCAGTGCAGAGAAATAAATTCATCTAATTAAGGCAAGTGGGTGAAATGAGATTGATACTTGCTGAATAAGCTAAAATAAGCTTGGGCTTTTAATAACGTTTGCATATTTCATGTGATTGTGGGATCATGTTGGGAAATGTGTCAGCACAGCAAATTATGTCGTGCCGCACACTAAATAATGAAAAGTAGGGCATGAATTAATCAAACCCAAACAAGGTGAATGTGTTGCACATGCAGTACATTGTCATATATAGGACAGATTAGGATATAATGTGAAAGTAGACTGTAAATAGGAAGTGGACGTAGTCAAAGTAAAGTCACCCATTGGTTTGAGGACTCTCCTTTTGAAGCCTTGAGTTTGCCATTTTGGTTTTTGGCCGTCGCCATATTAGATTTTTGGAACCAGAAGTAACACAAGAGGGTGGAGCAAAGTACAACTGAACGCTAAATAAGACGTCTTTAGGGACCAAATTTCAGTTGTTAGAATTTACTTTCATGAACTGAAAACGCACTTTGAAAGTGTTAAAGTTGTTGGACAAAGATATGGACAACCCCCAGACCGGAGAAGTCCTGTCCTGTCAATCATAAGATAGCCACGCCCAAAAGCATGCCCAGCTTTATCATCTATTTTACTCTAAATGGGACTATAATCTACCAAATGAGCAGCATGTTGGATGAAACAAGATGTCACACTAGCAAGTGAGATCAGAAACTTATGTTTAAAATGTTCACTGTGAGAAGTAGGGTCATTTTCTCATTGACTTCTGTACAATCAGACTTCTTTTTGCAAACCAATGCAAACTAAGTTGTGTGTTTATGTGTGTGCATGTGTAGGTGGATGAGAGACGGTAAGAGCAAGGGAGTTCAGGGAGTGTACAGTGGTATCGAGGGGTTAGACATTAGAGGCAGAGTATTTCCCTTATGCTGAGTCAGGTGTTTACTGTAATATACATCCTGCTCTCTCCTCTTTCTCTCTCCCTCTCTCTTTCTCTTACACACACACACACACACACACACACACACACACACACACGCGCGCAAACAGAGAAATTTTACTCTGCAATACAATAGGGTATTAACAGTATGGATAGTGCTCTCAGCAGACAGTTAACCATTGACTCAGGTTCCTGTTTAGAGCATCCTCCATATTTTACATTTGTGACTGAAATGCAAAACCTCATAGTGATTAGGAAATGATCAGCCTGAACATTACATCATATCCCAGAAAAGTTCAAATGTTGAGCCAGTTAAAATCTGCTTTTAGAACAACAACTGGCTTCATGTGGGACACTTTGGATGTTGCCACTAGTGCAAAATGATAAAGTGTTACTTAAAAGCTTAAGAGTGAACTGAAACGCGAAAATTTGTGGACGGACTAAATGCGAGGGAAGCTGCAGATTCAGGTGATAATTCTCTGTAGGTTCAATACTATGAGCGATCCCTTTCACGTTATTTGATACAATATTATAACAAATATTGAGTATAGCTGCTTTAAGTATTTCTCTAGTCTATAACATTAATATGTATCATTAAATGAGCTACAATCAAAGGTAAAGTTAGGAGAATAAAACATTTGTGTCATTCATGAAGAGTTTGTCACTCATAGTACATTAAGTGTGTGGTTTGATCAAATTTGATTAAAAATGGCAACTGTCATCAGCTTTAGATTCAAATGTTGCTAAATTCTGATTGGTGGACAGAAGTGTGTGACATCACTTTTTTCCAACGGAGTCCCGCCTATTTCAAACCAATAAGAGGGGCGCAGACTTAAAACACAAACATACAAATTTCTCATGAAATAACCAAACTGTTTGGCATAAAAATTGTGTTTTCATGTTGGATCCCATCACTAATTGCAAAAAGCTGATTGAGAAAATAGGTTTGCAGGTCCTTTTAAGTGAATTTCCCCTTGTTATCTCAGCAGAATGACTAGTGTTTGGTTTGGGTGTCCAAGAAATATATAAAAAAGGCAGTTAAAATCAGCACCACAACTTTATTTTGTGAACTTCAATAAGTGTTACATTTTACATACTGCTAAACTTTCTTTTCGTAAAATATAATATTTATAGTATTAAATTTCACAATTTCAAAATATATTGAAAGGACATACAAAACAATACAGGGAAAATAAAACTAAGTAGACTAAGTAGACCACAAACAGACCAAAGGGTTTAAAAAGTAATACACATTTTTATCTGTGTTGTGTTCTTTTTCTGTGTGTGTAATCTGCTTTAAGTGCAATGTTGGACCTGGACAAAGAGAGTGTGCTGAAGGTGATTTCTGTGTGTTGAAAGCCAGAAAGGGTGAGAAAAAAGTGAGACAGATTGCGTGTTCCTGCAGTGTTTACCTTCATGACTTTACAGTTTGACCCGACCAATCTCTTAAAAGCTTCAGATAAAGTTAATTAACGGATGACGTCCATTACTGTGGACATGCGCACACGCAGGTGGGCAGAGACGAGAAGACCTTGTCCCGGCTGCTAACTACGAAATTGATCTCTGACTTTTTAAAATGATTGCATGATCAAAATGATGTGTGTGTGTGTTGTGGCCTCTTTCTCCCATACCTTTATGTGATGAATGCATTTAGAGATTTCAATTGCATATGAAATCATTACATTTTCCAATAAATGTTAGAGAGAACCATCATGATTTGCACCAATTTTGTGCTAAACTGCACTGATTTCACAGGTTTCTTAGTCATTGGTCAACCAGTTTAAACTCGTAGTTATTGTTCCAGAGATAAAATCCGTAGGTGACCTTTAAGTTTTGCTGGGTGGGGAGAATCTCTGAGATGATTGGAAGGCCTTTTGTTTAGTATTACCCTCCGCCCCTCCTAAGCTGTACATGGGCCAAATAGAGCAGGACAGCAGAGGATTCTGTCCAAAACTGCATCTTGTAGAAGGGCATTACAGTTATTATTATTCTGACAAATGATAATAATACAATAAAAGCCCCTGGGCAAGCACTGAAATGGCTTGTCTATCACACTGGTTGCTGAGGAGGAGTTGAATTCAGATGCATTATTCTATTTAGTGATGAATAAAACAACAACTGGCGTTGATATGTGCTTTCCTCTCTCTTTGTTTTTCAGTGGGATGTTTTTCGATGGCAATCACACCTACATGATTGAACCTGGAGGACAGGGCAACAGCAATGTAAGTACTCTTCACGGGAACGTATATGTACTCTATAGGAGCTGGTGATGGTTCCTCTTGACGGTTTTATCAGTTTTCTCTTCTTTCATCGTTTCATCTTCTCATGTCCAGCTGCCTCCCAGCCCTGTTGATTATTCCATGATCAGATGTTGTTGCATCATTATTTCATTCAAAATTGAGTAACGTCCTTGAGGCTTTTATAATAAAGGTGAAAAAAGTCTTACATATAGTTATCCTTTAATCTGCAATGTTTAGGCTTCGTTAGGCTGGTTTGTCAGTAGGTTTAGTTAAATTTGCATGCATACTACGACTATTTTGTGTATTTGTTTTCCTTCTAAACACAAATTTATTCAAATCATGATTTCTACTTTTTCAAACTAGCTGAGCTGCTCCGAAATCTTTAATTTTTTGTACCTGACTGGAAATCACTTTGCTACAGGACTGTGTGTGCCGCACATAAATGGTGAGAATAGTTCACCTGATATTACAGGATTCACGCAGGTCATTTATAGTCCTGAGAGGAGCTTTGGAATAAATCAGAGTCAGTTGCAGATCACACACCAGTTGTCGCTACTTTTTCTAATGAGCCGTGAGTGTGGCCCGCAGGTCTCAGGACAGAGAGATTTGCTGGCTAACAAAGCCAACAGACAGCAGAAAAGTCTACAGCCAATTCGAAAATAACAATTACAGGCCTTATGGTCGCAGCGAAAGGACAGATCTGAGATTGTCTAAAGACGCCTTGAGCATGAGAGTGAAAGAACAAGCCGCTGATACTGTGTGCGTGTCTTTTCTGCTCTAATTAAAACGTCCACTGTTTCTAGTGTTAATCAGTAAGGGACAAAAAGAGACAAGATAAGAGAGGTCAGGGGTTTGTGTATGTGTGTATGTGCACCTTTGGGTGTTGGTAGTTGGTAGCTGGCACACAGCTACTTAAGATTCATTCCCATATGACAGTTTTAGTGCCAACGGCGTTGAAAGAATGGATAGGAGAGGAAATGAAGAGGATGGACGGATGTAAAGGGCAAATAGAAGGCTGAATATAGGATTGCTAACTGAGAAAAAAGGGATGAGAATGATGCAGGTACAGAGAGGGAGGATGAGCTTAGCAAAAAACACCAAATTGTTGGTAAATTATAGGTAATTTGATTGTCATTGTATCTCCTGCAGAAAAACTTCAAAACAAGAGGAACTAATTGGTTTGTAATGTCAGTTGCTATATCACAGTTATACAATATGGAAAGAAAATGTAAGTTAAAGCAACAGAATATTCAGAATGTGAAAGATTGATAAAAAAAGATAAAGCAAGAGAAAGAATGATAAACAACGATGGTTCAGCCCACCAGGTTTACTTCACATATGTCACGGCTTTCTCCTCTCCTCCACTTCTTCTTTGACTCCCTCCTCATCTGGCCTCTTCTTCGTCTCTGCCTTCGTCATTCCTCTCCAGCGTTTTCTGGAGAGACTGAATTATTCAAGCGATGAGAGAGAGAGAGAGAGAGAGAGAGAGCGAGAGAGAGAGCGAGAGAGAGAGAGAGAGAGAGATCTTAACTCAGAATATTGCTGCAGCACTCGCCTTCAGAGATACAGTGTCTTGGAAGCCTTTCTTTGGTCATTCACACAGGCCCAGTGACGTAAAATGCACATAAAGATTGGAAGAGATTCTCCACTAGTTTAGCTTTTCTGTGTGTATCATGCCAAACATTAGGCCAAAAACATTGCCACATATCAAATATAGAAAATAAAGGAAGACATATTGTGGAGCACATATACAAAGCCAAAGGAAAGGCATAAATTCAGGTGACATCCGGTATGTTAATGTACACCATTATAAATTGATTGCTCTAATTAGAAGAAGAACTTTAATGCTACAAGTCTAAATGTTGCTACTTTCTCCTTCATCCTTCACGTTTATCTGACAGCTTTAGTTACTTTGCAGTTGCAGATTTTACAAACAAAACATATGATCTTATCATCAAATGCGATTATTATAAGTTAAACCACCCAACACCTTGGTCAGCTACAGTGCTAAAATGCTACTTAGATATTAATGCATCATTTATTATTGTGGTATTACAACTTTTGCTCCAGTGAAGGATTGAAATACTTGTTCCACCTCTACACATTGGACACATTTGCTCTTCCTCTCCAAGTGTGACATATAACGTTCAGTTTCAGCATTTAGTTGTAAAATATCAGAACTCAACTTGTCTCAAAGAATCTAGGCTTCTCAAATACTGTAAATGATATAAAACATAATTGTCTGTACCGTGGTACAAGTACTGAGGTGGTTTAGGAAAAATATTTGGCACATAGCTCCGTTGCTAGCGATGGTTTTGGCATTTTAGGTGAGGGAATCCTGTCTGCATGACAATGCCGGGGACAGAGCTTCCCCCGAGCCCAGCAATGGCTGTCAGTTTGTCAGCGCCGAGCTCTGGATGTCTGCTCCCTGCGGGCGATGGTCCACTGTGACTCTCTCTCCCTCTCTGCATCTCTGGGCTCCTCTCGGTTGATCTCTTTCTCTATTTCACCCTCTAAATATCTCTTTGTCTCTTTTGACAGTCTGCTTGGTCTGCAAGCCGTCCGCTCTTATTTTTGTCACACAGATGTTTGCTGCACAAACCTAAGTGCTCCTCATGTACCCTGTGTACCAACACACACACACACACACACGCACAGTGGCACAGAGGCACACAGGCGCACAGAAGATACTGTGCTTTCTGAGTGGATTTTAGAAGGTTCTCTTTTTAAAAAGGCTGTTTGCTCAGTCATGTTCTTGTTATAACCTGAAACAGCCACTTATCAGTTGGAAGCATTAAATGCAGAGGCTTTTTTATGTACCATTCATTCCGGCTGCTATGATCTCGTTGAAAGTGATAGGAAAAAGAAACCTGGCAGGACGGGGGGTGTTGAGATGGATAGAGCGTTGGCATTGACCCTAAGACCATATGGTGAATCCATCTGATCTTCTTCTGCCAAGGCAGAAAAAGTAATACAGGACATTGGCTAAGTCTGTCCTGAACCAGCTGCTCATGTCACCTTATGCAGCGGAACTGGTTTTAAAGTATTATTGTCTTGTGTAAATGGGGTTCTGAACAAGTAGACTACAGTTGTGAGCAATGCAGAGCGCCAAAATTAAAGTTGACATAAGAACGTGACATACCCGGGGGCTACGAGGCTGATACATGTAAATGTTACAATCTTTAGTGTGCAACTGTTTGTGTGAGCGTGAACATGCAGACAACTTGAGTATGTGCGATGCTGACTTGCATTTGCAGAAAACACCATATGTTTAGCCCTCTTGTTTTTTTTGGACACCTTCCCAACCCCACCTGCACCTCAGGGCCCCTGCGGCTACATCCCAACAGATCTGACTACTCACTTTCAGTGAGGACTGAGAAAAGCATAGTGCTGCATTTTGTTGATATTGCAGTGACTGTGAGTTCAGAAAACAAAGACAAAGCAGTATTTTGAGAATCGATTAATGGCTTAAGTCATTTATCAAACAACAAAATTAGCAGCTTGTCCCAAATCTATACTACATACTAATTCTAAGCAGGATTTTTGCATGTAGTGTGTTCAAATGAAGTATAATCCCACCAGATAGCGTGCACATTAATACTAAATAATCGTCTGTGGTGTTGATGGAAACTATTCTCCTGGTTTTCTTGGTTTCTTAAATTATTTTTTATCATATATATATCAAATATTCCCAAATCTGGGAGGATAACTGAGGATGAGGGAGTGAAGGATGAAGTAAGGGGTGTGTTGGTAGGGGTGGTGACAGGTTGCAGGGTGTGTGTGTGTGTGTGTGTGGGGTTGGGGGGTTGTTCGCATTAGGTGCCAAGAGGAGGATTTTTTTGATCCTAGCTCAAGCTGGGAATGAAGCTCAGAGTGAGTTAGATTGGGATTTTAAAAAAGGGGGTCTCCCTGTGGCCTCAAGCCAACCTCATGTTGCTAAACCTGGACCAGTTCATTCACACATGCAGACCGAGAGCAATAATGAAAATCACGCTACCCCTCCCTGCTTTATATTCATGAGCCAGTAGTCTGTGTCTGATGTACCATCTCCCCTGGCAACCTAGGCTCCACCCCATCTCTTTGTAGCACGACATATGAAAGCCATCTGTGTTTAGACCCTAAATCTCCATCACTACACACTCCCTGCAGAGTCTATATGCTGTGATTTGTAAGATGGGAGTGAGGATCTTGGGAACAAAGAAGACTGGTCCAGAAAATGCTTTATTACAACAGTTAATTTAAGATTGATGCACTGTGTATATGCTACAAATAATACAAAGGCATCTATGTCATATGGTGTTATTAATCATCAGCCACTAAATTCTCAGTCAACATGAACGTGTGACATCAAAGCAGGAGTTAGCTCCAATTATGGCTGCTGCAGTTTAGACTGGTGGCTGTTAACTCAGATGCTCAGTCCGCTAGGACTACATCAAAGATAAAGACAAAACACTGCAGTGCTAAAAGATTCATTTTAATAGAGTGCTCACCGTTTATAATTGGCTATAGTTTTGTTCTGGAGTCTGATGTGATAACCTAAATATTTACGCACGGAGCAGATCAAAGTTGAGGGCAACTGCCAAAGAGGTTCTAGTCTCAGAGTAAAGTGCACATTTCAACTAAAATCTTGCTCCAAACAAAGGCGAAGCTGTATCATTTCTGGAGGAATTGATGATAAAAGTAATTAGTTGCACGGAGGTCTATGTTGTATATCTGTTTGTGCTCTACATTTGGTAACTTGGCCTTCCTTAGTGAGAAAATATGATGATTGTGTGACTTTAGCTGATGTGGAGGTTGTAGGTGTAAGCTGTAAACGTAGCCTCGGCATCACTGCAGACCGACATCTGGATAACTTTAATATCCCTCAGCGAATCAAGTCATCACGAAGAGATTACAGAAGGAAGTATAACATTTTATGGAAATACATTTCTGGGAAACCAGAACCTCACCAGCCATTGATTTAGTCAAAACAATTGGTCAATTGAACTGTTACTGTGGAGACAACTTGCTGGAACCATCACCTGAGCAGATATGAGCTGGCTCTCTTTTCCAGTTTGTAATCGTCTGACTGAAATGTTGCTGTTTCTCCTCTTAGTCATGAGTCTGAGTCTTTGCCAGATGAGTGAGGATGGACAACTTACTCACATGAGTTATTCCAGTACAAGAAGATCTATTGTGTGTCTATTTATTTATTGTTGTTACCCCGGCACATAAACAGGCACACACACATATATACTTGGATTTATGTTTTAATAAAAACAAAAGATTACAGTGTAGAAAAACATTTGACCTCAACATTGTTGAATAAGATGAATGCATTAGACTTCAAAGAATTGTCGATCAGTGCTCGTTATGCAAAAGGTTCAAACTGTAAAGTAAAACTGGCTCCCACCACCGACCAGCAATACACTTCCAGCTAAGTTGGCAAAAGTTTTAATTATCAGCGGACATGTTGATGAACAGCACTCTCATTCCTGTTAGTGTTGTTTTAAGATTACTGTTCATAATTAAAATGTAGTGATACATTTCTTAGTGCCATAGTTATTTAGACGTTAACACTTCGGAAAAGTATGTTGCAATAAATGATTAAGTAATATGTTAGAAAATACTCAAGGCTAAAACAAAGGCAATGTAAACTGGCACAGTATTCACACAATTAGTGCATTAAAAACTTCAACAGCCGCTCCTCACAGGAGTGACATAAACAATTCATGTTACAGAACAAACACAAAAGATATTAACAGGTGAGTCAGTTAGTTGTTCATTCAGAACCACAGAATTCTAAGTAATGTACAGTAGTGATAACATTAGACTTCTATACTGAAGGCTTTACACAGACAAAAGTGACAAATCATTTGAGTATAAATACATGTCCAACATAAACAAAGGTAACAGAATAACTGACAAGCTGTCAGTAGCTTTTTGGCAGCCAGCATCAGGGCTTCTTTAATCTAAAAGCAAGAGTGGTAATTTATATTCAGCTACATACTAAATGCTAGTAACAATTTGCTTGTATCTAGTACATTGGTCCATTGGCCACATCAGCAAGTTAGGCGCCATCGTTTGTGGTCATTCTCTGCTGGTAAAACAGTGAAAAAGGCTAGTTGGTTGAAATGTCTTTCAGGTATTGGCAGGCAATCCATTCTTTCCTTTCTACAATACTAAGCTGAATACAGTGTTTACACCAGTGATATCTTCATTTTTAAGAAAAGCTCATCCTTCATAATCCCAGGATTCTTTTAACTGGGTTTCATCTTCTACAATCAGCAATTTACTGACTGACTGACTCTAGGGGCTGTAAATAGCTCTCATATTATTAACTTTCATCTATTATACTCTACTAGTTTCATCAGTGGTGATCTTCATGGACACTCATGGACAGAAGCTTTTAATGTGCTGACGTTAGCAGCAGCTTTTCTCTTACTGTCCCTGTGTCAGCACGGGGATGTCGATCTCTATGGCAGACATCCGTGAGCGGGAGGAGTAGCGGTGGCCTGCGTAGGTGGATGCGTAGCCCTGAGATGGAGCGTAGCCCTGAGATGGAGCGTAGCTCTGCGAAGGAGCATAACTCTGTGAGGGAGCGTAGCTGTAGGCCTGGGTCCCTCCCACCTCTGAACCATACCCATCTGGAGCAGAAATCTGAGTCATGTACATCTGTGTTGGTGCAGGGGCGATCACACTTTGCGCGTAGCCCTGAGAGGTCACATACGGCTGGGCGTCGATAACTGTGGGAGGGAAGGGCTGTGGTGGGAAGGGCTGAGGACCATAAACTGGGGAAGGAGGATATCCGTTGGCAGTGAGAGGCTGAGTGGACAGAGAGGTAGGCATGGAGGGTAGTGGCAACCAGAAAGGTGAAGGCAACTTCTTACACATGCAGTACCACATGAACATCAGCAGGGCGGCCAGCATAAGTCCTCCAGAGCAGCCTATAGATACATACACAGCAAAGCCATCAGAGAAAATGTTATCATATCTGATGTTCATTTCCTTGGTGCGGAACAGGAACCACACTGAGGGTGCGATGGCGATAGCTCCGCCTAGGAACAAGAACGTCCCTGCCACCAGGTGACAGCCTGCATTGTTGACCAGGAATCTGATGGTCTTAATGTCCGGTTCAGGCTTGTCTGAGCAGCAGCAGGTCTTACACATTCCTGCCATGCACAGCAGTAAGGCTAGAGAGCCGAACAGCAGGCCTGTAGGCAGACAGAACTGCAGAAGCCGCAGATCCAGCTGGTCCACTTTAGAGTACCACTGGAAACATGAGAAGACATGGTTTCTGTTCGGATCATTTAGGACAGAAAAAGCATGAGCAGAGGAGAGAAAATGTATCAAAGTAATACCTCTGAATCATAGTAGTAACATCCGGAATAGCCGTCCTGTTTTACACATTTAGCCCACAGCCCATCATACACGCTGATATTCTTGGCATTTCGATTGAAAGTGACGAGTCTCGTTATGCGCCACTGTGGGATCAATGCTGCCACAGCAATCCCTCCCACAGACACAAAGGCAACGAGGAAGGCAAAAGCGTTGGTGGCGTGGATGTCCCGGCACGACATGGTGGTGCTGACAGGAACCGAGGCCACGAGGAGAGTTCCTGTTTGAACAGATAATGACAGGAAGTCAGACAGAAAGAAGTGACCGGCCAATGCAGTGGGGCCATTATGTGACTGCAGTTCTTTACACAGAACTCCTGATTAAAAGGAAAAAGTTATTGTTGTACAAGCTTCTCCTAATGGCCCCATTACTACTGAAGTAAGCTAACTGTGCCACAGACTGACCTAGCAATGGGCAACCCCCCTGTATTTCTATGCACCACAGCGTAGTTGACCCAATATCTGCCGTCCCCGAGAAACAATGCTCTCATTTCATTAGCAAACAAAGTGGGAATGACTTGGAAGCTGAGGTTGCAGTTGCAAGAGTGTCTATACTGCAGTGCATTACATACACTATGCAGCTAAACAATGAGCAGTTGAATTAGATGTTTAAGGTCTCTTTGTGTGACAACAGTGACTGACCATGGCTGTGTGAAAACTCCTATGTGTCGTTAATACAATCACGTCTAGATATTTGCAATATCTCATATCTTCAGATGATATAAAACGCAGCAGCAAGAGACGGATCATATCACCACTGTTCTGGCTTCCAGTCAGTAATGGAGTATTTAAGGTTCACTGATTTCTATTTTTAGTTGCCTTGTGTTTTCATCTTGTTTACACATGTAAAGTACTGTTATTTGCTATGCAGTCATCATGGTAATTTAACTACAGAGGTCAACGATGACTGCATTATCCTAATATAACTGTGTGATAATACACTGACCAATACCATGACATCATAATTATACTAACACCTGGTATTATACTGAAATCCAATTTTGTGATCAACATTACACGATAACCGAACAAAAACAGGCATTTATGAAGTTATTATGACACGCAACGGCTTGCCAGACGACGTCTGTCTGGGTGGTTTTCATCAACTAGCTTAGCTAACTTATTATAACGTTAGGTTAGCTAACTTATAATAACGTTAGGTTAGCTAACTTATAATAACGTTAGGTTAGCTAACTTATTATAACGTTAGGTTAGCTAACTTATAATAACGTTAGGTTAGCTCACTTATAATAACGTTAGGTTAGCTAACTTATAATAACGTTAGGTTAGCTAACTTTAGCGTTAGCTCTTTTAGCCCGTTGGCTCATCGCTAACTGGAGACACGTACCGTTATGAACGGATTAATGGCTGCATATATCAACAGGTTAGTTCACTAAAATCTACCGTCAACATATGAAATGATAACCACGGAATGTTTACGAATAGGCTGCTGACTTAGCATTTCACGCTAACGTTAAATTAGCCAACTAGCTAGCTGGTAGCTAATAACTTAGCATTACAACAACCTGTTGTGTCCCGGAATCCCTCATTGTGAAGCTCAAACACGACAACTGCATTAAACATTGACACATACCTTATATTTCCAGCTGTTAGGTCGTGTTTAGATCGAAGGCAGTGTCATTTCAGCCCGGTATTCTTCACACACTCGGTCCAAACCTGATCCAAACCAAACCAGACCCTTTTCCTGAAGTACAACTGGTATACTGCTGCCCTCAGTGTTGTCTCACAGGTGGTTTACGCATGCGTGCAGAGCATTAAAATCACAGGGTCGATCAAATTTGACATACAAATTGAAAGATAAAAGTAGTTACAATAATCGAGTGAGCAAATACAATACAAGAGGATAAATAATAATGTAGAATTGTCCAGAAATAGGTACAAATAAATAAAATAAATATATAAATCCCTAAACCGTACGATGCAAAACATATAAGTTGGTCTGCTGCTGACGTTCTGGTTCAGTAGGTGCAAAGTATTTTGTGAGGCAACAGAGGTCGACCAATATTATGTCTAAATCCTTTTTGATGTTTGTTTCTGTACCAACCATATGATAGTATGTGTTTTTGTCCAATTATTTGTCTCCCTTGAACTTTTTGTGCGTGGGTGCAATATACAAAAATGAAAATCAACCAAATCAACATAGGGTGCAGATCAGTACAGATTAGACAGAATCAAACAGGCAGCATGGACATATAGTATCATTTCACTTCAGGTGAACTGGAACATATAGCTGCTTGACCCCCATAACACACTTTTGGCTGTGATCTGTGTCACTGATTCTGCTTTTTGTGTCTTTTAGGGAGGCATTCACATGATCTATAAATCTGCAGGGCATGAGGGATTTAATGATCTCCTCAGTGGTAAGATGATGACTCAAGTCATAAGAAGGAATTTAATGTGATTAATATTTATAAAAAGTAGTGTAATACATTTTCATTTATTGATGTTTCTGTTTTCTAGGTGATTTTCCAGAGCCGCCTTTTCCCAGTCCTCCATTTCCCGGGTCAAGAGTTGTTCACAGGAGAAAAAAGAGACAGGTATGACTCCTCTGCAGGCCTATTTGTGAGAAAATCATCATCATTAGCAGATGGCAGCTGATGGACTCATGTTGACTTGAGTGTAAGATAGAGAGATAATTATGCTCTGGATGCTGTTTGTCCAAACCTGATTCTCCTGCTGTTTCCCTGCCCGTATGTTTTATGTAAATTCATAAGGATAAAGAGAGAGCGCTGTTTCCTCACTCTCCTCCCACACAACAGCTCCCCACCCTTCTCTCTTTTTCTTTTTTTTTTCATGAAATATTTACCTTGTGAGTATGCTGCTTCTTCGTCTCTTCTCAGACACAGTCAGATGTCTGCAGCTGTCGGTCCCTCAGCCCTCAGCTGCTCTCATCTTTATTTGGAATAAAGACAAACCTGGTTTAGCTTTGCAAAGATCCTCCTTATTGATCTGTCGTTTCTTTTCTTGGTGATGCATGAGACAAGAGTTGATATTTGGGTTTGCTGTGTGTGCTGTTCTGAAATTGTCAATGATGTAAAAATGTCTTGGTTGAAGAAAACTGAGAAAAGGGTGTCTGTCTGTCTTTGTTTTTATTTTGAAACTGGCAAACTGTGTTGTTTCTTTTCAGGCTCCACATGAGTCACACAATGTAGACGATGAGATCAAATACATTGAGTTGATGGTGATCAATGACCATTTAATGGTAAGTATATCTGGTATGGTTGTACAATTATGATAGACTGTATACCGTAAAATTGTTAATTCTATAACTCCAAATACTACCTTCATTGTGCATAAACCAGACAGTTTTGATCCAAATGGTCCTGACTAAAATCCCCAGGGACGGAAATGTTTTATACACAAAAAAGGTGATATTTGGAGCGATCAAATGCGCAGACACTGGCTCCTTTTACACATTTAAATTACCGAAAATGAATTGTTTCCTGTCTGTCCCTCTCTCTGTCTCTCTCTTCAGTACAAGAAGCATCGGCTTTCCGTTGGACACACGAATAACTATGCGAAGTCAGTCGTCAATATGGCTGACATGGTAAGAATTGTATTGATCCACTTCTTGGAAAGCTTGCCACAAGCACTTCCGGGTATACATTGAACTGATTTCTCATTTAACCAACCTCACTCTCTACATTTAAAACCTCTCCTGGCCCATAATATGCTGCGTGCAGCCATTAACCAGCCAGTCATGAGTTTTCAGAGGACTGAGACAGCAGTGGTATCCCAACAGTATGGAGGCAGATATTTCAGTGTTTCATTATTTGTAGACACATTTGTTTGCTGTGCTACTGAAATCTGACCTGCCACAGAGTCATGCCTGTAAGCTGATAGGCTGGGGAAAGGTCATGCTTTTTTGTCGTGTCCTTGAAGAAGATCATATGAAGCAGACTCTGTTTGGGACGTACACATTGATTTCCATGCGAGAGTATAGTTGCCTTTTTTTCCCCAGTGTATGCCATCCTGCCACAGCACTGAGGCCACATTCACATTGTCATCAGATATGATGACTATTATAGCAATCACAAATAAGTTACAATGGGTATACATATACAAAACACCGCAGCACTGAGGCCACATTCACAGTGGCAGCATGATAAATATTACAGCAATTACTTATAAGTTACTCTGGGTATACATATACAGAATTAACCGGTCGAGGCAGATGGCCGCCCAGAGCCTGGTTCTGCTTGAGGTTTCTTCCTGTTAAAGGAGAGTTTTTTTCCTGCCGCAGTCACACTGATTGCTCATGGGGGAATATTGGGTTTCTTCAAATTAAAGAGTACAGTCTGCACCTGCTCTAAAGGAAAAGTGTCATGAGATAACTTGAGATAGTTTGTAGTCAGTAAAACGTGTCCTTATCAGTAAAAGGAATTGTCACAGTTACGGTCCCTTTCCTAAACCAATGTCCACCCACTACAGAGTGTCACATGCAGAAGCATCTGTCACCATGGATGCTGATTGACACAGTGATCATTCCCAAACCAACTAGCCTTTACTGTAAAGTAAATGGTACATTCCCTTCCATTTGATGGACATGTGCATATAAGGGTATAAGAAAAAACAATACAAATCTTTTAACTTGAAATCCACTTTCTAGGTTTTTTTAACCACATCTCACGGATCTAATTTGCTCAGTTGTCATCTCATGACATGGACCCGACCCTGAGTTCATGATCAACAAATACATTTAGTTTGGGGGAAAAATGATGGCTCCTTTTATTTATCTTTAATGCTCATTCTGTGATTTTTAAAACCAAACATCCGATTTTCTGAAAAATAAATCCCCAGTGATATTTGGAACTCAGAAAGTTGTTAACAACACTTACTCCTGCTTTCAAGGTATTTCCATCTAGACGAAAAATATTACATCCTCTGCACAATAATAATAATTTAAAAAAATTCAACCCGCCTCTCAAGTTCTGGCTGAATGGATTTATAGGTTGAGGTTTTAACGGCTGGATTGGGAACAGCTTTGTTTTGATACTACTGGCATTCGGCTTAAACAAATAAAGCTTTGCTCTTGGCCTCTTCTCCAGTGTTTGTCTGGCTCAGTACCCCAATAGATTTCCATTTTATGAAAGCAAACATTATTATTTGCCAGTTTGCTCCCTCTACAGTATGTCCTTCAGACTGTTACCCTTATTGACTTCGTCTGGCTGCCTGTAATGTGCTGCTGTCTGGTGGCGGGACACTGATCACACTGACTGTTTGAATGCTGCTTTTGCAGCAGACAGCTGAAGATGTTGATGAATATGAAGCGTGCTCGTCACTTTTAATATCAATCACGCCATGTCAGTATAACTTAGCTATATTAAATCTACTATTAATTCACCAGATTTTCAAGGAACAGCTTAATACCCGGATTGTGCTGGTTGCGATGGAAACATGGGCAGCCGACAGTAAGTTCAACATTGACGACGACCCCATGGTGACGCTGAAGGAGTTCATGAAGTATCGAAAAGACTTCATCAAGGAGAAATGCGACTCTGTTCACCTCTTCTCGTAAGTTTGAATACTTAAAATGATGTTCTATGTGTGCTCGGAATCTTTTTTTATTAAACGCATAACTATATTTTCTTAACAGAGGGAATCGTTTCCATAGCAGTTGGGGTGGAGCTTCCTATATGGGAGGCGTTTGTGCTCTGACTAAAGGAGGGGGAGTCAATGAGGTGAGCCTCAAACTACAAATTATAGATTTTCAAAACCTCCAAAATTACAGTCAGTTTACTGTCCATTAGATAGAGGGTGTAGGCAATGTGGAGTACGATCATGAGTTATTTTCTCCTCATAGAACAACATTAGCATGTTCTCTTATTTATGTTATTAAATGAGAATTTCTTTGTCTTGTCAATACTGTGCATTTATTTCTGTTATATTCCTCAGTTTCAGTTTATAGGCATTTAGTATCTGTTATTCCATTTGATTAATTAATCCAAAGTTTTTTGTTAGCTTTGAGTGGGATGCCTTTGTAAGATCCTTTATAACACTTTATTTTTTCAGACTTATCTGATATTCTGTTTATTTTCTGGTTCCTGCTGTTTCTCTCCTCGTTCTCTCTCTCTCTCTCTCTCTCTCTCTCTCTCTCTCTCTCTCTCTCT